TATATATATATGGCCAAAATTATACATAAGGAGACATTTTCGTCAATGTGTTATTTTAATATTTATGATGTACCTTACCCTCCACTTTAAATTTTTCAACTGCTGTACTGAAACACCCTGTTGGAATTTTTTTTTATCTCAGTTAATAGAATAAAAGAAGAATTAGGATTTAGTGTTCGAGGTTCGCTATCCACAGCAGACGGGAGTGGAGGAACTGCAGACGGAGTTAAGTTTCTTACTGGATTATTCAGAGGATCAAGGGTGAAAGCTAATCAGGAAATGGAGGAACAGGAGATGAAAATGGAGGAAGATCATGAATTTGAGGAACAGGAGATGGAAATGGAGGATCACACAGAAGAGTATTAAGAAGTTTTGAAGAATAGGAGACGGAAATGGGGGAGGATCAGGAAGTTGAGGAACAGGAAATAGAAATTGTGGATCAGGATGTGGAGAAACAGGAGTGATGGATCAGCAGGATTAGGAAGAAAAGGACGGGGCTAAGGAAGAATACGAGTGAGGAATAGCGAAAGAAGAGCTTTAAATGAGATATTAGAAACTTAGGACTCAATTTTAGTACGTTAGCTAGTTTCTTGATTCATAGTTTTTTTTTTATAATAAGTATTGGCATTGAGAAAATAGCAAAGAATTTGCCAAGAATGAGTTAGAAATCCATAGTTAGGTTAGCAACAGTTATAATTTATTACCAAAGTTATAATTCTCTTTCTATTTAACTAAATTGAGTAGTCTATTTTATAAACATTGTAGAAAATTTATAGTGGTTATTGAATATTATGTAAATGTGCATGTTAAAGAAAGAATAGATACGAAATTTGATTTCCGCTACAAATGGCTTCCGAGAAAAGGATTAAATTCAAGTTTAGTTATTAAATGTAAAAGAATATGTCCAGGTAACCGTATTTGTAAAGTATAGGAAACTTCGTAACTGCAACTTTGCTGGGAGAAAAATACTGAGTAGAATAGAGTTAAAAGCTTTATTCCTTATAAAAAAAAACAGATGTGTATGTAGAAAAACGAATGCAAAAAAATTACCTGCTATACTTTTAGTCATTATTGCTTTTATTAAGAGAATTGTTTTAAATAAAGACTGTTTCTTGTTGTGAAAGTTTATTTAGTTTATATGTATAACAATGGGATTTTATTTCAGTTGAAAAAAAATTTGATATTTTCATTAATTTGATTAATTCTCTATAAATTTCATTCCTTTTAACTTCAAAGAACTGCTGTTATATCTTTATTATCCTGTATTTTGTGATAACATTTTGCGTAAGAAAAGAATTAATTATGCATTAAATGAGATGACTGTAGTTTACTCTCTGAGGTTGATTTTGTTTTTGCAACATTTAAAATTAAGATAGTTTAAATAATAATCAATTTATCCAGCTTTACTGCCTGGAAAAATATCATGTATATTCGTATATTCAGAACAAGCTGTATTTCTAAACTATTACAAATAAATATTTTACACAATAAAATGTTTTTAAAAGCATCTTAT